TGTGTGTGTGTGTATGTATGTGTGTATGTATGTGTGTATGTGTGTGTGTGTATGTATGTGTGTGTGTGTGTATGTATGTGTGTATGTGTGTGTATGTATGTGTATGTATGTGTGTGTATGTGAATGTACGCTGTATGTTTCTACATGGTTATTTGTTATTTGTTTTAAGATTCTATCTCCACAGTTGTATGTGCTTTCACATAATGCTGTTTGAATTGCCCAAATAATATATTGAATGACAGTAAATACATTTTTTCAAACTCACTTTAATGAATGATTTTCTGAATACTTTATCCTTAAAATAAAAAAACATGTTTTTATAAACTTGAGCATTTAACTTGAATTTATTAAAAGTTAATGATAAATAAATGATTTCAAAAAACTTTGCTTTGCACATAAAACATTCAATAAGATTAAATGAGGAGAAAGCTTTCAGAGTCTGTTAAATCGGTCTTTATTATCATTTAATGTATCAATTTTATTTTCCTAATCTTAAAATCAGTTACTATCAACGACAAATATTACAATTTTCAAGTATGTCATCAAATTATGACATTTGTGAAGCGTAAAAAAAAAAAAAAAAAAAAAAAAAGAGAGGGAAATCAGATGTAGTTGAGAAAAAGATGAACTACAAGTCTACAGCCAAGATTACAAGAAGTTTAAGTTTAGAAAGACGAAAAGTTTCCCATTCCTTCTAAATAGCTGTCAATGTTGGTTTGAATACTTCAGTGATCATGGTCAATCTGGCCCATGGGCTGGAGGTTGTCTGAAACCTTTAAAGAAATACCACTCTATGAGTCTCAATTGGAAGCCTCGTCAGTTGAGAAAATTAGGTAATTCTTTGAAAATTAAGGACACAAATAACCCAAATAGGTTATAAATATACCTAGTAAGCTATTTCAGTGATGTTGCATACATTTATCAACATCTCCAAATAAGCATATTTGTTACAGTAAATGCTTTAATTGGTGTCAAACACCTAACTTATCCTGGACATATTTAATAATAAAACATACTATCTGATATTATTCCAATTCACAATTTACTATTCATATTTATCATGATTATGAAAATAGATTAAGAATTCCCACAAGCTATCTTAAATAACATGTGAAATAATTTAATTATAAAAATGGTTGTCACCGTTAATTTTGCACTTACTCTAAATTCACATGCAGTACAAGCAACAATGTCCTCCACAGATGTATCATCTGCTATCTCCACAAGAGTTAAACCTTCAAGGGGGTCCACATTAAAGACACCCTGAAACAAAGTTCATCATAAGTATCTCGTGCAACTTTCATTTCAATGAGCCATTTCAGTTCAATTAGGAACTGAAAATCAAGGTTGTGTTATAAAAGAAGGGTTATGTAGTGAGAGAGTGAAGTCTTGACACGTGCAGTTGTGTTACATAATACCCTTGTATATAGGTGTTTGACTTCTACCTGACCAGTTTTTATAGTGATGTCCTTTTTCTGACAAATCTGTTTCATAAGTTGTATCATGCAACTAAATCTAACAAACATATTCTTGTCATGCTGAATAATAAAATATTTCAAAACGTGGGTCTTAAAGGTGTGGCAACCCTTAGCAAAATATCAGGCCTGTCGCAATCTCTCTAGCAAATTCGCTGTAAATTTGCTACAAATTTGCTGCAAATCTGCAAGAAGTTCCTGCAAATTCACTGCAAGTTTGCTGCTAATTTGTTGGAAATTTGTTGCAAAATATGTTTCCTTTGTTGCAAATTTGCAAGAACATGAATACTTTCTTGCAAACTTACTGCAAACTTAATATGTTCTTGCAAATTTTCTGCTAATTTGTTGCTAATTTGCTAGAACATAAAGACTTTTCTTGCAAACCTGCTGCAAACTTAAGTTGTTATTGCAAATTAGCTATAATACAAATTTTTTTGCAAACTCCTGCAAACTAGTTGCCACAAGCAAATTTGCTGCAATTTTGCCGCAATATTGCAACAAACTTTTCATTTTATATATTATTTATATATAGGGAATGGCTTTTATATATTTCAAGTAATGAATGCATATAATAATCTGGAAATAGAAATTCAACAAAATTAAAAAAGTATATATATATGTGCCTCTTATTAACCAATTCATCCTTATAGTGAGTTGTGTTATAAAAGAAGAGTAATATCCAGTAAAAGGGTGAAGTCTTGACACGAGCAACTGTGTTACATATACCCTTGTGTATAGCTGTTTAAGTTCCACCTGACCAGTTTTTATAGGGATGTTGTCCTTTTTCTGACAAATCTATTTCATAAGTTGTATCATGCAACTGAATCTGCTAACAAACATATTCTTGTCATGCTGAATAATAAAATATTTCAAAACCTGGATCTTAAAGGTGTGGCAATGGCTTTAATATACTTCAAGTAATGAATGTTTTAAAAAATAGCATGCATATAATAATCTGGAAAAAGAAATTCAACAAAATTAAAAAAGTATATGCATGTGTCTCTTATTAAATAATTCATCCTTATATTTAGTCGTCATGACCGTCATGACTTTGTATATCAATGAAGAGTAAAGTCTTGACATGTGCAATTGTGTTACATATTAAACTTGCATATAACCGGATTATTTCCCCTGATCAGTTTTATGGTTATGCTGTCATTTTCTATTCAATTCTGTTTCATAAGCAGAATCATGCAACTAAATCCATTTACAAACATGCTTTTCTTGCTGAATAATAAAATCTTTCAAAAAGTGGATCTTAAAGATGTGGCAATGGCTGTTATGTAAAGAATATTAAAGGGATAACAACTGTTCATCAGATATCCATATGTCACAATAAATACACAGTAAACAACTCATAGAAATATAATAAATTCAATTCTAAAACGGCAGTTAATGCAATTATTCTAGAATTTGCGCTTGCCATCACAACACATGAGCTCCATAGAAGGCTATACTCTGTAATAATCTCTTAAGAGATTACTACAAAAATAAAATTTTTTTAGAAAAAAACCAGGGACCAATTTTGTGCGAATGGATTAATTAACCATTGGTAAGTATAGGGAAATTGTCCTTTACCCCAGGAAAATCCATTTTTCGGCCAAAATGAACAGCTGTTATTCCTTTAAACAACACCCACACATTAAACTTACTTACTTTCATGTTAATAAAAAAGGAAGAAACAATGAAAGAAAGAAACAAAGAAAATTATGTTCCCTTGCAAAGCAACATGAACAACATCATGGACAACAAAGTACCCAAGTACTTTAAGTTACAAGGGGATGTGCCACATAATAAAGCTGATTTCATTGACTGTGCCTTAGCGAAAATCTCCGCTGAGATAGATCAATCCTGTTAGCATAATAACTATTATTCTGAAAACAGCCTATCCTGAACAATATTAAAAATTTGGTGTAACAGTTCAGATAATTTTTTTGGGCTAAAGCTCTTTTGTAAACCCACTCCATAAAGTTGTCCATTGAGTTCAACACAGCTCTGAGAGAAGCATCACCTCAGATGCCAGACATGCTATCATATATCCAATTATCTACAAGACCTTCCTGAAATAAGAACCTGACAGGTTTCTTGCAACCCAGATCAAAACATCAAACTATTCTTAGTGTCTAACAACCACCATCAATAAATGTCAATGTCAAATTGGAAGGAAGTGAAATAAGAGTACATACATTTTGAAAAATACTCATTAAGAAAAACAATTGAAGCCACAAAAATAGAACAAGTCATACAGGAATTAGATTAATTTTGTATTGAAAGATTCATTCCATATATGGAGAAAGGCAGAACAACAAACTATACAGAAGGGTATTAATTTGCCAAATTGCCTACAGATGACAAATGTGTACTGTGCAGCATACTATACAAAATAACTTGACACCATTTTATTTAAAACATATACATGTACTGAAAAGTGTATTTGAGTTAGAAAGATATGGAAAATAGCCTAGGATGCAAGAGACATTAATGAACCCTTTTAAAAAATTTGGTTTATTTTGTCTATTTTGTTTGTTTCCTACAAAGAATAAGTGTAAAAACCTGAGGATCCATGTACTTACCTTTTCTGTGATGATCATATTTACACAGCCTTTTCCAGTAAGGGGAAGTTCACAGCTATCAAGGATTTTTGGTCTTCCATCCTAAAATTCAAATTGAGATGAATCATTTCATTTTCACATGATTATGTAAAAATATTTCATGTAAGGTAGAGAATGTAAGCCTATACCAAATACAGAATTAAACACTGGCCAAAAAAAAAAAAAATAGTTTTTTTATATCTATGGTTTTAATATACTTTATCATACAATAGTGTGGCATAAATGGTAGCATTTTGTTCAGTAACATGTGTGCCCTCCCCTAGCTGTGATACAGGCTAGTGCCCCACTTCTTATGGACCCCACGAGACCTCGAATATGGACCTGGGGCATCCTTCTCCATTCTTCCACCAGTGCAACTCTTGACTCTAAGATGGTGGTAGGCTACAGCTGGCGGTTATGAAACTGGCTGGCCAGTTTATCCCAAGCATGTACAATCAGAGACATGTCTGGTCTAAACGCTGGCCACAGAAGAATCTGGGACTGCTCCTGCATATCCTGGCAGTATGGCTAGGGGCACTGTCCTGCTGGAGCAAGTTAGGGTTGGGTGTTTAAGGGTAGAGAAACTTTTTTCTTTCTGTCTATTTATCATTTGTATGAGCTTGTTTTCAACTAGTGAAAAAGCTAATAACCTTTGAGGTATGTTCCATTGTAACAACTACTTTAGTATCACCTCCACTAGCGACGAGATCCATTGCTCCTCCCATGCCCTTAACAAGCTTACCCTGTCAAAGAGAAACATAACTTGTAATAATACATTTTTGTGCATTTTTTCCTTCTAAAAGAGATTTACATGCCACTTTAAGCACATGTATAAAGTTAAATATGTACACAGTGCGGTCAATCATACACCAAAATATTACGATCCTGGTTTTTGTAATGAATTACAGGACTGATACAGGTTACACAGCACACTGAACACAAAAAGGATGACTTAAGTCCATACCATAAAAATTTAAGTTATTATCAACCAAAACACAGTAAAAGACTCTTCCGAACTATTCTTTAAGTTTGTTTTGTATTTGTGTGTCTGTGAGAGAGATAATCAATTAGTTAAAGTCCACTTACGGGAATCATCCAATTGGCAAGGTCTCCAAATTTGGACACCTGCATTGCCCCTAGAATGGTGAGATCCATGTGACCCCTATAACATATAAAATAGTTCCAATATTTCCAGATGCTTAAAACCACTGGCTGATTAAAAATATTGCATTTTGGTTCCCCCTATTTTATAATGACATTCCCTACTAGTGTTACTACATTATAATTTCTAGAAAGACCGAGGAACTTTGCAGTGAGCCTTTTACTTTGCAATGTTAAGAAATGTGTTTATCAAGTGCAGTGCACGTTTTTGTTGTTGTTGTTAATTGGTGTATACATGACAAACATCTTTCATTCACTTAGTGGTCTAATTTTGACATTTTCCTTTTTACCTTATTTTTAATGTTTCAGTATCAATAAATTTAAGAGGGATTATGCAGGAGATTAGTTGTAAGTGATAAAAATATAAACCCTTCAAAAGAAAAGAAAAAACAAGGAGTAACTATACAATAAGTCACTAACGATTACCCTCTTATCATGGCAAAAGATTCATCACTGGAGAAATACGCTGCCCCAGGGACCACAGTGACGGTCTCTTTACCAGCGTTTATCAGATCTGGGTCTTCCTCACCTGCTTCTGGATAGCCTCCCTGTTTTTAGTGAAATAAAAGTAAAGGTTCATACCTGGATCTGATATCAAATGTATATTAAACAAAGATAAAAGAATTTCTTATGAAAGGTGACAAGATATAATTATACAAAGGATGCTAGCTAATGAATTGGCACATTATTTTATTTAAAAAGCAGGGACACTGCAGTTTTAGAGTTAAGTTTTTTTTTTTTTTTTTTTTGCTTCAGGATTTGATAATAGCTAGAATAAAGCACTTTTAAAAATGTTCAAGTCAACCAGCTCATAAGTCTAGATGGAGCTATTTACAAATACTGGATCCTGAAGGACCTTTTATAACATATGTATACACTGATCTTTTGTCATTAATAATCAATCATAAAGTCTCATCTCCCCTTTCAAGAGTAACAACTTTACTGAATTACTGTTGAGTTAATTTCTGAAATTACAGCATCAGCAGCACTTTTAACAAATCAAAATGTTACACTGATTGAAACAAATGTTGGGATGAGCAAGGAGCCATAAAATTAATGCAGCATCTTATTTGCTATTAAAAAAAGAGAAATTTCATAACCAAAATATATCAATTTCTATCTTTTAGGAATTAAATTATGATAAACATGACAAAACTATACTTACCAATCCAAGAACGCCATTTTCACTTTGTAAGTGAATGGTAATATCAGGATGGATATAGTTGCTGGCAAGCATGGGCATTCCTATTCCTAAATTGGCTGGGAAAAGTTGAGGATGGTTTGTCCAAAATATATTTTATGTCTATGTGTATGTTATTATATGCTAAATATATTTTCACTGTCTAAAATATGTTATAAAACATCATGGAAATTATTTTTTATGACAATATATAAATATTTCTTTGCAAAGTGGTATTAACTGCCATTGCTTTCATATCAGTCTAATAGTCTTACATAAAAATATAGAAATCCATATCAGTCAGTCAAATTTGCTTACAAATTTGTTTGAAATAACCAGTAAAACTAAATATTTCTCAATCATTCTGCTCAAGTAAACCATCTTATGTGTTAGGCAAAAATGTTACATGTTAGCTTAGATCTTGAAACTAACAACTGCTGCATGAAAACAAAACATTCCTACCAATTTAAGCAATTGAACAAATGCAAATCAACCCACAGCACATTTTTAGAAATGTGTTTTGAACTTTTGATGCAAAAGAATCACGTCTCTGATAAGCAGTGCATGTTACAGCTCTCATTATCTTCCTCAAGCCATTTACCTCCATTAAAAATATATGTATGAAACATGCAATATTTATGTTATGTGGTTCACCACTAAGTAATTAAAACTCTCTCTCTCTCTCTCACACACACACACACACACACACACACACACACACACACACACACACACACACACACACACACACACACACACACACACACACACACACGTTTATGGGCGCATGCAGGCCAAGTTGATCCATGGACTAACAGATCCCTGGATCAAATATGGCCGACCCACTTGAAAGCTTGCCTTAAATCCCCCCAACAGACACTGAATAGATTCCCCGCATAGATTACAGGGTAAGTTTTCAAGTGGGTTGGCCATATTTGAATGGTTGTGAATGTACTTAAGCCTTTAAACTGAGAACTACACCTAAGCATAATATTCCTGCCTAAAAATGAATCAAATGACAGAAGCAAATGTTAACAGAATCACATTTCTGTAGAAATGTGCATTGATGCACAAGTAACAAGTCCCCAAGTACCAATACACGTAATAGCTGCCAGCGATGGTTTTCCTTGATCTTTAACGATGTTTAAGCTTCATTTGAGGAAGCATGAAGCACATGCACGCAGCCATGACCTTCACCTCCAAATTACTTAATTGTCTTTTGGTACGTATTGATACCTATCAGGTCGGGAACATTTCAAGAAAAATAGGATCAGTAAAAGGATACCATACATCCCATCCTTAAACTCCATGGCTGCCCTCCTAATAATCCTCTCTCTGTTTATGGCCCCAGGAGTAGAAGGTTCCTCCGTAGTTTTCTTTTTCTTCAGTGTGCGTTTCTTTAAAAAATACGACAACTTTTAATTGCTGAACCCAGTAAGTCTTACTTACAAAAATGCTGAAAGATGCTATATATTATGTATTCATTATTCAAAATTTATGATTTTATTCACATCTAAAACTAATAATCACACATTTTAAAATCACATTTCTGTTTATTATCAGAAACGTTTTTCTGTACCTCAATCCTTTTTTCATATCTGTCTCCTTTAATTATTCTTTTCACATAGATACTGGGTACATGAATATCCTCTGCGGGGAGAGTATCTATATCCACAATCTCTTCTACTTCTGCAATGGTAATCTTAGCAGCCTTGCACATAGGGACATTGAAATTTCGAGTTGTTTTCCTAAAAATTTAGCAACTGGCTTTACAAATTATCTTAAGATAGATAAACAAAAAGCTTATTTCCAATATATTCCTAGAGGTACAAAAACAATTGTCTTTCACTTGCATTTTACATTGTAATATATTCTGAGCGTATTTGAGCTTTAGAACCTACATGTGAATAAATAAATAAAAACATAATAATAATAATAATAATAATAATAATAATAATAATAATAATAATAATAATAATAATAATGCATTTAACAAAGGATTAGCTTAATACCTGAAGATCAAGTTTCCTGCCTTGTCAGCTTTCCAGGCCTTCACTAGTGCAAAATCTCCAGTGATTGCCTCTTCCATAATATATTGGCGACCATTAAATTCACGACTCTGTAGAAAAAAAAATGGCCACTTAATCAAAATAATATAAGATCACACAATAATACACAACTGATGATGATGCTTTCTTATTCTGGGTATGGCCTCAACAATAATGATCTTTTTGAAAACATGAACAGAAAATTCTGGACCTGAATATATAAACAATTTCACTGATAAATTGAGGAGAAAACCTTTCAGGAAAAGTGCCATAAAACAGACTTTTCTGGGGTGAACAATGATTTCCCCATATTTATCAATGGTTACTAAATCTGTTTTGACATTCAAAGTAAGCTGATTGTTTTTTAAGTGTGCTTTTTTTGTACTAATCTCTTAAGAGATTATTATAATTATGCAGTGTACCCATCTATGAAGGCCCAAGTGGTACTATGGCGAGCACAGATTTCAGAAAAATTATGATAACTTCCGTTTTGGTGATTAACTGGCACTTATTATATTTTTATATGTTGTTTACAATGTTGTTATCCTTTTACATGTTTCTTCCTCACATTCATTTAAGGGTGCCTGCCCAGAGATTTAGATCGATCTAAAGATTAAGTTTTAGATCGACCTAACTCCCTGGGGGTTCAGGCTAAATTGCAGTCAGCCGAGCGGACACCATAGTTAATTACCCCTTTACAGCTTTTAGTAGGCTGGACAGACGCTTAAGCCGGCCAAGCTGACAGTAAACTAGTGAGACTCCCCACAGGGATAGTTCAATCTAAAAATCTATGGAAATGGGGTGTAAGACCAAAGCATAAAATGACCAATTCTTAAAAAAAAACTAAACACAAATGACAAAGCATTTAGCCTATAAGTTAAATAAGAAAATATAAAACTATAATTTAAATAAGAAAAAAAATCATGTTACATAAACCTTGTTATGAAATGGGAACTGTTAGTGTCAAAAGAGCCATCAAGTCTTAGATAACCACTGCAATGTACCCTGAGTTTCAGTATTTGTGAAAAACTTGCTCTCCTCTATTTCCTATACAGAAAATACATTTCTGATAACTTTAAGCCTAATATAGGTGGTCGTTCTTACTGTGACATCAAATGACAGTTTAATTATTAATATTATGAAGGTAATGTGCCAAACAGTTCAACTAACATCAATTAATTAATTTGGAAGAAACATCATTTTGGGTGGAAATGAATAAAAACCTTTGAAAAAATTGGTCTATCTGTTAAAACGTCCATCTTTCTGAAAGTATTGCATTTTAACAGAAGTGGCATGCAAGATAAGCCACCATTCATGCTTAACACATGTTTCCAACATGTTTTATCCTCCTTTTTAAATCTCTATTCACTGGCTTGAAAATTTCCCCCGAGTCAAAAAGCCATCTTCAAGTCTTGGATTACAATAATGAATCAATCTTTTCAATGGGCAAAAATAATCAAACTTTCAGATACATTATTCTAAAGTCATAAAAATTATATTTTTATAGCATTTAAACCCTGTCCATTTTAAAAAGGGAAAATCCATTTTATTCCCCTTTAAATGGCCACAATTGCACTTTAAAAATGGACAAAAATTGGAAAAAACATCACTGGATTAAGAAATTCATTGGATTTTTTGGGAAATTTCCTCAAAACTGGGGGTCAAAAATCAATGAAATGATGACTAATTGATGTTTTTGGGTAAATTCCCTGAAATTAATTTCTCTAAATAAGTCTTGACCACTTACATTTTGAGGAAATTTCCCCAAAAAGATGGTTTGAAAATTGGAAACTCTTAAGGAGTTAGCTTTGGGGAAATTCCCCAAAATTGGAGTTTCATAGTCAGACATTTATGCCCACTTAAGTTTTGAGGATATTTCCTCAAAACAGTGGTTTGAAAATCAGAACGTCTTATTAGGTACTTGAATTTTGAGGAAATTTCCCCAAAATGTGAATCTCAAATTTGGAAACTATAAATTTTAGGGAAAATTTCCCAAAATATTTTGAGAAAAATTGAGAAATAAATGACCAAACACAAAACATACATTAATACATGCATTAAAATAATAATAAATTAATAAACAATAGTAGTGATAATAATATGCAATTACTGACACAGTGTTTTGGTCGTCTTGACAATTTATTGACCCCTTTATATACCCATGCCTTTGGTGTTGGTCAATGATCCCAGCTTCGAATAAAAAATATGTTGAGATGACCAAAGCACAACGTCTATAACTGTTTCATAACAAGGTTACAGGTAAATTGTCTATAAATAAGATACGAAAAAAAAAAAGGATGTTACATAAACTTTGTTATGAAATGGGAACAATTAGTGTCAAAAAGCCATCTTCAAGTCTTGGATTACAATAATGACTCAATATTTTCAATGGGCAAAAATTATCAAACTAAAATTATCAAAATTCCCCAAAACCTTGACTTGAGAGTTAGACAATCATGCACACATATATTTTGAGTAAAATTGAGAAATAAATGACCAAACACAAAACATACATTAATACATACATTAAAATAATAAACAAGAGTAGTGATAATAATATGCAATTACTGACACAGTGTTTCGGTCGTCTTGACAAATTATTGACCCCTAATATACCCATGCCTTTGGTGTTGGTCAATGATCCCCGCTTCGAATCACAAATATGTTGAGATGACCAAAGCACAACGTCTATAACTGTTTCATAACAAGGTTACAGGTAAATTGTCTATAAATAAGATAAGAAAAAAACAGGATGTTACATAAACCTTGTTATGAAATGGGAACAATTAGTGTCAAAAAGCCATCTTCAAGTCTTGGATTACAATAATGAATCAATCTTTTCAATGGGCAAAAATTATCAAACTTTCAGATACATCATTTTAAAATCATAAAAATTATATTTTTATAGCATTTAAATTTTGTGGTGCTTTAAATGCATAGAAAAAACTTTAAGGTAGTGTGCTTATCAATTTTGTTGTAACCACTCAATAGAAATCCTCTTATATTCTAATTCGCTGATGCTTAAACATATAAAAAAAAATTTTTACCATCTAATAACTCTCAACGAACAAAACCACTTCATCTTCAAAAATCAAAATCATTCATTTATAAATAGCAATGAGTCAAGGTGCCTCTGCCTGTGTACAGACAATATTACATAACAACCTTTGCTCCATCACCAGTCATTAGAGTAAAGGGGCCCGCACACGGTGAGCATTCGGCGCGCGCCACTTGCGCTGCGCCAGATGCTCGCGCTCCTCAGCTCCCCGCAAACGATGCGCTCTTTGCTCAGCAGAGGTGCCTCCCGGCCTGCCCCTAGCGGACGCACTGTGAACTGTGGAATCATGTGTTTAAGGAAACATTACATATTGTTGTTTTTTCTGATAGCAATGGATAATGGTGACCACGTTAATCAATCAGACTAACTATAACTGTGTACATTTTTGTTGACTTCGCTGGGGGCTGCCATTTTTGTTTGTTTCCGGCTACTGGCACATGCGCATTGTTAGCATGGCGTGAGCAATCGGCGCTTGCACCCCGCACACGCTGAGACATTTGCCTCAAGAGACCAAAAAAATCAAACACGTGAGAAATTTTGCTCAGCCGTGCGTGAGACAAAAATCTCACCAAATTACCCCCGCACACGATGAGAAAACGGCGCAGCGCAAGTGGCGCGCGCCAAATGCTCACCGTGTGCGGGCCCCTTTAGATCTCCCGCATAACCCAATTCCAATTCCAATTCTAGTACAGTTCTCACTTTTATAAATCTGATAATTTTACAACGCATAAGCAAACCCTTATCTTTATATAAATGTTTTTATACAAAAATTATTATTATTAGGAATAAACTGGAGAACATGTCCGTATAGAAATGTAGATCAACTTCAATGATAATTTCCCTTTCTCACGTGATCTGTTCACCATTTGAATACAGCGCCCCCTGCATTACTCCCAAATGACCTTCCTCCTAAGACACGTCATCCTTGACCCGTTAAATGGCAATAAATACATTTTAAGAAATTATGGCTTAAAAAATAAAGTATCTGTAAATTTCACAATTTTTCCCCATTGAAAAGATTGAGTCATTGCCTTACTACTGACCAAAACAAAAAGTAACATGGATGCATGTAAATTATCTATAAATTGAATGAGAAAAAATCATGTTACATAAACCTTGTTATGAAATGGGAACAATTAGTGTCAAAAAAGCCATCTTCAAGTCTTGGATAACCACTGCAATGTACCCTGAGTTTAAGAATTTCTGAAAAACTTGCTCTCCTCTATTTCCTATACAGAAAATACATTTCTGATAACTTAAGCCTAATTGGTGGTGGTTCTTACTGTGAAGATCAAGTGGCAGTTTAATTATTTTAATATTAAAATACTATTATATGGGCAGAAAAAAATAATCCTGTTTGATATAAAGGTAGGCTTACTACTTCCATTAGCCAATTATTTCAGTTTCAGAGCACACAAAACCTAATAGCAAAATGCATAATCACCAAGGAAGTGGATGCCTCCTAGCAAAATACTTCCTCTGGCCATTTCTTATTATGCCATATCCACAATATTTAATTTACCAAATGTTCCAAATGGCATGTGCTTTTTCTTGATAACATTAATAGCAGTATTTTTTCGTATTTTTTCGTATTTTGTACGTAAATACCAACTGTATATCTATATGATGGCCCTTTGAACACTATGGAAGCTTTTTTTAATGGCTCTAGGAAGTCGCAAGCCTATTGCTAAGACTTATTATTTAATAATACTATTGGCCAAGCAGTAGGAAATTGTAAGCTGAAAATGTATAAAAGATTATCTCTTTACTACCTTGTGAGAGGACTTCTACAAGTATGGTCCATTGAAAAAATATATAATTTTTTTAACATGATAATTTGATTTTTCAATTTGTACTTGTCACATTTCTTTTTTCGACTAACAGCCTGAAGATATGCATTTTCTTTACCAATATAATTTTATCTTGTGATATTATCATTATAGTCCTTGGACATTTTTGAGAATGCTTATTCCTCTGATAACCCAATTAAAAAGGCTCCAAGTACCTGGTGTTTAATATGTCAAATGTACAGGCCACATTGCTTCTGAACTGTATGCCCCTTTCAGTCAGAAAATGTCCACTCCAAAACTCCAAGTCAACATTTATGAGATATAAAAACCAGTTTTGCTAGGCTGATGACTTGTAAAATAAGATGATCACTACAATCAAACATTTATTTGCCCTTCTAGGTTCAAAATTTGCAAGTGTGATATAGTACTGTCACTTGGGCAATATATGCCAGAACACCTCAAGTGTCAGCAAGAGATGTTCAATGTATATATTGTGAAAGGGTGGCAGAGTATTATTTGACGCACATACCAAGAAAAATAACTCTAATTTCAACATAAAACACCCCTAAAACCAAATGAAGCCTCCCAATATAATTCTCTAGAGATTTTACATGCAATAAAGATGTCCATAATCATAAGTCAACCCCAGCCAATTCCTTACATAATGTACATCTGACAAATTTTGTCAATATTTTCTAAATGCTTGTTGTGAAAGGCCAACTTATTTGGACAGTATTCCCCATTTTCACTGCTGACACTCTGACCTTTGCCTGTAAAACTTAGCAATGCCACACCTTCAAGCTGGGACTGCTACTGAACAAGGGCACCTCGCTTTTCAGTGACATTTCTGACAAACGCATATTCAGGCAGATGTTTATTACTTGTGCAAAGGAAAAATAAATTTACCTTTCAGTGAAATTCCTGATGAAGAAGCAGTTTTGGTATATAGTCAAAGTCAGACAGACACATTACAGGGCTAACTGAGTAACCATTCATCCCACTTTAGTGAAATTTCTGAGGAAAAGGCAGTTATGGAAAAGAGTCAAGTCAGGAAGATGCTTATAAAAGGCCCACAAGTGTAAAAGTACTACTCTTACGTGATATTTCTGCAACAAGATGGCTTAGGAACATATTGAAATTCAGGCAACTGCGGGTAACTTGAAAAGATACCAAAACCTAGAGAGCATGAAATCAATGTTACAATTGAAAAAAGGTTTCAAATACTGTAACATTAAATACCCTGGACCTAGGTTGTATTTTCTGGTACCTATAGTTTGTAAAACCTGTAGACAAAGTAGACCTCATAGGAGCAGGTGGGAAATGCACTTCCTACTCTACCACATAGCATGCAATCTTGTAATTACAACCAGGAAAACCTCCCTTAGTCTTAAAGCATGAAATTGATTTCTCTTTTTTTCTTACCCTCCTCTCCCCCCCCCCCCCCCCCCCCCCCCACACACACACACACATACAATATCCGTAGAATTGAACTAAGGTAATTAATCAGGAACATTATGGTGTAGTATAGGTACGAAATTATGTATGCAATGGATATTATAGCTATCTAGGCAAACTGTGAATGAAAGCACACATTGCCTCTGTTGCCTTAGTGGGTACTGTTTTCCCCAGACTAGGCGATTGGTTGAATAATGGTGGGTGTATTATAGGAAATGATTGGTGTGAGGAATGTCATCACAGTGCCTCTATGATTTCATATCACGAAATTGAGAGAGAGAGAGAGAGAGAGAGAGAGAGAGAATGACATGGTGATATATTCACTAATAGTTGAATCTTGTAAAATTCACATAAATATAAAGTACTTTGTATGAAAACTGCTTTTACATATGTCATGCAGGTGTGTAAGAACTCCTTTCAACATGTGCCAAAACAAGAGTAAAACACAAAAACAGCAAGACAGACAGAGGGGTACCACATGACAGTACGAGTTCAAATCTTTCAGCCCCGAAATGAAAAACAAAATTGATCTATCTTTATGAAAGCTTTATTTCACAATTTTTTTTAAATTTTACATGCTTTTAAAATACATTCTTTTAAAATACAACAACATAAATTCCCAGGCAGATTTCCATGATTATACTTGCATCCAGTATAATCTACTAAATGACTTATAAAATGTACACATGCGGTGAACACAGGAATCACACATATTGAGTGCGTGGGCTGAAAAATGTCTGGTGGTAAAATTAATTGTTTTTAGATGAATTGCCTGGAAAGTGACACTTCCCAAAGAGAGGAAGTGAAATTCCCTGCCACTGTCTACTCAGAAATTTGTATTGGTTTCTCTACAGACCCTGACAAATGAACAGATATTTATTGTATAATCCAATGCAAACCATTCAAGCTTAGGGGATCCATCTCAAGTGATCGCTGCCAACTATGACTTTTGAAGACATTCTTTTTGACAGTTTTCAAATCATTATTATACAAAAAAAAAAATAAAGAAATAAATATAACACATGTTCTGCATGTTCTGCTTTTCTGTCTTTCTCAAGTTTCACAATTAAAAACAGACTCTAATGTTACATTTTATAGACTGAATCTGCCAGTGGAACCATACATGTGTAAATAAATTCCAGTAAAAAACATGAGAGAGACAGAGAGAGAGAAAAGGGTTGTAAACAATTCAACAGTAAAATCAACAAAAATGACACTATTTTCATTCTGATCCATCTATTAAATATCTGCCGACTTACATCAGAGCATAACTTTTACAAAAACAGCAGGGCATATTATTGCTTGACAGCTGGGGAACCACAGTCCTCCTTGTGATCATTTCCAAAGTATTGCCTTTCTGGTAACCTTGTGTTTCTGTAAGACAGCAATAATTTAAAGCTAGATGCATCATACTTTACATGACCTTAAGCTGATCTCTGACTGCGTCAGTAGCTTCCCATTTTTAACAATGAATCTAACACGTACAATAGCAATGCTTAATGATCTGCCTGCCAACAGTTGCATGACCTTGATGTGAAAGAAGTTGTATCTCTCAGTTCATTAACTGTAATGATATTGCCAAGGAATCTGTGCACAGAGAAAATGATTTTAAAAACAACTCTTTCAAACAATATTTTACTTGACATTTTTAACTGACACCATTCTATTGCCATCACATAGCAGCAAGCACTTACCAACGGTGTACAATAAGTAAACCAAAACGACATCATTCCAACACCTTTGTCCTCATTGGCTGAGAAATCTATGACATCACAACTCCTACAACTTAAAAGGAAACGTCTCCCAACCAAGCAAGCAGACTTCTTTCTGCCTCAACAGCAAAAACAAGATATAGAAACTTAAAAAATATGGCCACAAAAGATCGCCTTGGGGATCTGAAGAGAGTTCTTCACTTAAGTGAATATTTGGAGGAAGACAATGACTTTAATGCTAACCAGGTATGTTCAAGCTTTGGACTCCTCCTAAAACAAATAGTTCAGATACAAGAGAGTATCAAGGAACTAGAGAACACCTTGGAAGAAGTAAGGATGCTGCATAGTGAGATTGAGCAATCTTCATTTGGTCAATGTCATCTGAAAAATAAACTTAATAATGCTGTGGCGAAGATTGCCAACTTTGCTAAGGGCATTACACAGCAGCTCAGTGATCTGGACAAATACAGAAGCAAGGACAATGTGGAAATGGACAGTAATGCAGCAGAAATGAGAATAAGGGAGATTCATTATACGACAATGCGGATGAAGTTTTCTAAAGTTCTACACAGCTATAATCAAGCGATGGAAAGTCACCGTGAAAACTGCATAAAACGTCTGCAGCGCCATCTGAGCATTTCAGGGATTGACCCTTCCACAGAATCATTAGAAACAATCTTGAATCATGGCACAGAACATCAACTCATTCAAGACGTTCAAACAGACATTCAGGTTCTTAGTCAGAAATACAACCTTCAGATAGCACGTCACACAGAGATACTGACATTAGAAGAAAAACTTACTGATCTTCATAACTTGTTCATGACCTTGCAGTTTCTCACATCACAGCAAAGTGATTTATTGGACAATGTTGAATACCATGTATCAAAATCAAGAGAATTCATAGACTCAGCAAGTAGACAGGTGAAAAAGGCCAGAGAATATAAGAGGAAAAACTCTGCTGCAAAAATTGTAATGGCTCCAGTCACAGCTTTCAAACATATTTGCCACAGATTGTCATTTTAGCATGGATGTTTCCCTCTTATTTTCAATCAATTTTTAATGTTAATTCACAATTCAACACTTTCATTGTTAATTGCTTGATGTATTGAGTTTTCAAATGTAAGTATATGTATTATTATTATTATACATGTGGTCTACACTAGAGCAAATGACTATTATCACATATATAATGAACTTCATTATGTATCGCTTAAAACAATTGTAAATAACAAACCACATTATATTTGTATTTTAAAACAGCTTTATTTAAGTTATGCTTATTTAGAAAATGGGACTGTCAAAGTTTTAAAATTATACACAAAAAACAACTGAAAAAAAAAGAAATATATATGTAAATTGTTCATTTATAAACTATACACTTAAATACTGTATTGACTTCATTCATTTCTTATTTCTATCAATTATCAGAAGCCTTCTAAAGAGTTCACATTATTTCTAAAACTTATTTAAGATTAAGAAAACAAAGGCAGAGAGTTATATCAATTGCTTCTTCTGTTTTGACATTTAAAAAAGTTCCCCAAAAGAGCAATGCTGCCTGCCTCATCCGCCATATCACATTTATTAAAAAACAATCCTTCCTGCGTAAGATTCTCCAACACAGACATAAACATCAAAATGCTGCGTTCTATTCATGAGTAAACACATTAAAGATATGACATTTTGTAGCCTGAGTGTCAAACAGAAGACAATTCTATTAATAGTAAACTTACTTCTTTGCTTGAAAACACAGACCTTAGTGCTGATTGATACATAATTACACTATCTATGCAACAATGTGTTGTACCACGTAAAACTTGACAACAATCTACTTTCATACAGAAATGTGGGCGAGCTTGTTATCATCACAATTATCGCTATTTCTGTCATATACAATTCAAAGGGCAGCTGGTGTTTTTCTGTTTAAGACACATAAAAAACAAGAGAGGATTCCCAGTAATGAATATAAAACATTTATTTCTACCTGTTCCTTATATGACTAAAATAATGTTGATATGTCAAGTCATAAACCAAATTTATCTCTCATTCAGCCAAAAAATAGCTTCAAAACTACTTTCTTCAAAATTTTTGAATAAATTGAGCTATTTATCTGTTCATCCAATTCATAAAGGCAAGCTTAACAATGAGGTAGTCCCATGCATGAATGTATTGCTGCTCACCCAAGTGCATGCCTATTCCAGTGCCTCAAATTCTTGATTGTACCGGTATTTCTGAAAACCAGACGATGTATGTCAACAATGGCAACCTGTAATGTAGTTTTTTTTTATATATAATGATTAAGCCTCTAAAAACTTTGTTATATTTTGAAGAACTCCCATAATAGTAAATATAAAACATCCTGGAAAAAACTTTTGTTTGGTATATAAAATCAGTTATCTCAAAATGGCATTTTTTGTACATATAAATAGTGACTCCCATGCTAAAGTCATCTGTGTAACTTACACCTGTAATGAGGTGCACACATTTTCACCTTATGCTATGTTTTTTAAAATGCTTTTAGGCCTCCTGTTTTGTTTTAACCATTAATCTCATCTTTTGTATGCTTTGTCAATCAAGTCTAAGAGCAATTTAAGACAAGGTAACACAATCTCACCTATCACAATTGACCAATTTTCATACAGTGTTTTCAAATTGTTAAGAGTCCTCTACATAAGAGGACCCACATGACTTAGAACACTATTCACCGTTTCATCCACGAGTTAAACGATAAGTTTTGCTTTCCAAACTTTTCTCAACTTTTCACGTTTACAAGCTTGTGACATTTATGGTGGATGGGCAAATAAACTGATGGAGACCTTTTCTATACAACCTGCTGCAGGAACTTAAAATTCAGATACACAACAATATACGAAGCTCTTTCTGTTATAATTAAATGGCATTGGCTTTAATTGGAAGCAACAGGACGAGATGGAAAGTATCAGGTATCAGTACAAATAAGACGAAGTATAAGGTTCAATGTATGATATCTTTTCTAAAATCTGACTAATTTTTTTTAATGGCTAAAACAGCAAAGTACCTTCAAGTTGGTTGACATGTACAAAATTCTGTTGTCACAGTTTCACTTATCAATTTAAAATTGTTGTAGATGGTAAGACAAGATTGTGTTACAAGAAAGAAGAGGATAGTTTCCATAGTTACTCTGAAACATTGTAATACACTTTTCATATTTAAAAAGGAATGTTTTTTGAGACCCAATTATTGAGAACCTTTAATGAGATACCTATTTCTAAAGGAAAGGTCCTTGACACTCAACTATTGAAAACTCACAACACCTAGATCTAAAGGATATTGCACCTTAGGTAATTAGCTATCTGAAGGATATTAAAGAAAGGGGTAATTAAATCAATGTAACAACATACTTTATAAGATTTATGCACCACTTTACTGACTTTCTACTGACATTCAACAGTCTCTTATACAATATTGTTCACAATTGGCAAAAGCTTACTATCTCTGAGGTATAGGTGGTAAACAGTTATGTGAGAACAATTCTGTGAACTTTGCCCAATCCAATCTCTTTCTACAATTGTGTGCTTGTGCATGCATGCGTGTATGCATGCATACAATAATAATATAACAATAACATTTATTTGGAACTCAAGGTAATTGGATTGTACATTTGTAACAAAGTAATTTATGTGAAGTATATATATATATATATATATATATATATATATATATATGGTACAGTATATAAGAACAGTTAGAGGCCAGGTCATACATACTGGGACGGTCTCACCTCCCTAGGGAGGATACAGCCCAGCTGTCAATGAGGCACTAAAAGCTATTATGCTAACAATATCTTTCCCTGTCAGACCAGGGACCCTGCTTCAACCCTTACGCCCTGAGTGTCAAGCAAGGAGACAGCAGGTACCATTTATAAAGGACTGGTATGTCCCTGGATGGGGTCGAACCCACATCCCCCCACTCTGGAGGTGGACAATCTAACCACAAGGCCAATTGCTCAGTAATGTGCATGTGTGTTGTTCGTACTGCTAACCTATATGTGGTCTCAAAAGGCCACCTATTAAAACAAAGAATGCATCAGAGGTTGCAACTTGTGTACGTCATTAGAAATTGAATAAGGTCAAACTGATATCTTATACAACTCCAAAACATTATTACTTGACATTCACTTTCAGATTGCGTACAAAAAATATGAAACCATACAGAAGAATGACGAGGATATTCCACTGCTGTCAAAATAATCTAAACATATCTGCTACGTAATCATTAAAAAAATAAATAGCTTGCATGCTTTCATTTTTACTACCTGCAGGTGAGAGAAGCACAAGACACATCAATCATTCAGATAACAGCCAATATTGCAGGACCTTGGACCCCTTTCACAAAAAGACTTGAGGTTTTAACTTTTGGCCCAATATTTCACGGTTATGCTGAGTCCGACAATTTTCAGGAAGGGCTCAGAAGTATCATAAATAACTGGCTAATTGTTGCAGCAAATATTCGTGAAGGTTGGAGCAAAGTAAATGTTTTTAAATATAAATTGTAAAAAAAAAAAAAACAATAAAAAATGAGTCAGAATCTTTTTCACTGTTAACTTTTCAAGTAAAATTACCTATGCTTTGCACCTGCCTTGTGATTTTTTTCATTGGTAGATAACAGAACAATAAATATATAATTTGTATATATGCTGAGAAACTCTGGGAATATCCAATTTGATAAATTTGTCATATTGGACCTAACACTGACATGCTTCAGAATAAAATCAAATGCCTTCAGGTTCAATGGCAATCCTGAAGTACCGGTAATGTGCAGAAACATAAGATTCAAATTATCAAACTACCAATTCATCAAGACAAAAGAGAAGCAGTTAACTCCTCTATCAATTTATTTTCTATTTATAACATATCATACCTGATCTTACCCAAGTCCTGTTTTTTGTAATGTAAACTGAAACTTGGACAGTTACGCCATGACAAAGCTGACAAACAGTTTCATTTTGGCTTAATTTATAGCTCTGAGGGAAGATATTAATTACTAGCATCAAAGAATTTTCCAAGGAAAAAACACAATTCTTTACTGCAATTTCATCAGAAAACATTGTAGTCATATCAAGCAACATATTCTACATGCAATCATCCAAATAAATTAATGTCAAAGGTACTAATTTCTAAAGACATGAAACATGATAGTAACAATTGGCACTATCAGTATCACTACAGTATCAAATTGCCTCAAATTTACAGATAAGATTTTTCAATAGCTTGACAAGCACAGGTCAATGTAGAAAAAAGGTTTACCAATGAACTGGCTACAAAACACTTAACATTATGTACTATTTTAAAGATTCTTTAAAACCAAGCACATTCCAATGCAGATGGCAGTTAGAATAGTGATGTGAAAATAAACATGACAGTTATGGCATTCATTTCTTAACTACAATGAACAGAAATCTCACGATCTGTTCTGTCCTAAAGTGTCACATAATTTAACTGACTTTCAAAAAACGCATTTCAAAATGCTTGATTTATTGTAAATGTAAAGCTATTCATCTTGCCAAGTGCTATAGAAATAATTTATTTGATTATATTTAACCTGTCTGTCAAAAGTTGGATGTTAATAAATGAACATTTAATGGGTCCAAAGATTTTCTATACATCAGTCAGAGAAGGTAAGATATACAGCCAGTCTAAAATTAAGAAACTAAAGACCAAACCATGCTTTAGGCCAAAAGAAACTGCTGCATGGATATCCTTGCACATTTATTACAACCTTGTGGTTTGGTGGAAAATAACTGTGGTTGACTCCTAAAAACAAGCTTGGAACTCACGAACTTCCGGGAATTTTTACCATATTATCCTGAAATCTACAAAGTCTACTGAAAATATTGTCAAAATATCACTTTTGTGACCCATGACAATAAAATAGACATCATGCATTGGTCACTTTTATATTGTTTCTGTCTTGTTGTTAGATTCATCGCAAGATACAGAAAGGAGCATTGGTCACTATTATTTTGTTTCTGTCTTGATGTTAAATTCATTGCAAGATACAGAAAGGTCGGAAGTACAGGCAAGATAGTGACAAAAAGTTGAAAAGAAGGAATGACGTACCAGAGGTCTATTAGAGATGGAGGAACGAGGAAAAAATATATATACGAAAAGGATGTCTGTACTTTTCCTCCTATCCCCTTCTCTTACTGACCACCAGTAAAAAGATGTAGAAGGATGGTCAGCTCATGCGAATTAACCTATGAGGTACCAAAAGATAACTGTGAGTAAGAGTAAAGGACGATAAACTGTCCTATCCCCTTCTCTTACTGACCACCAGTAAAAAGATGTAGAAGGATGGTCAGCTCATGCGAATTAACCTATGAGGTACCAAAAGATA